CTTGACCCCTCTGGCTCCTAAAATCCTTTCTCCTTTTCTTCAGCAGTATTCCACAGAGATTGGGCTAATGTTTGGCTGTGGGTCTCTGCATCTGGTAAAATCATTCCCTATTTTGTATGCTATATTGGCTTTTTGTCAAGTCAAAGACTTCAAAAAATTTCAATTTTCCCTTCAGGTTTTAATTTCCAACATCAGTTTCTCCCAAATTATTTGGGGCTCTAGATCCTGTGACACTAGATCCATATACTATTTCTGCTATTGTCTTTGTTTAGGATTTTATTAACCTAGGTTGGTACTCGTAAGACAAGGTTATAATCATGTTGGTCATAAAGGGTAGATTTTTCTACTATGTGTCATAGAGTGCCAATAGCCAGAAAAAAAAAACCCACACATTTAACTATAAAGTAATGGGGACTAAGTTCCAAACTATATTAGAGGGTGTACCATTAACTGGTGTAGACCTGTTAGGGAGTTGTGAATAACACTAATTTAAATGGCAGGAAATGCTGTAGAGTGGCACTTTGTTGATCAGTCTTGTTTCAATAACAAAAGCCAGCTAAGATTTGTGTCCATTAATCCACACTCTCCTCCTTGTGGTCCAATGTGTGTGGCACTATCAATAAGCCCAAAGCCATCAGTGATTCAGGAGGGGACTGAAGTTTCAATGTAGCTCCTGTGAGTTCTTCAGGTCAGCCTTCTGTTCCACTGCCCAACCCATGTATACAGAGGCCCTGCCCACTGATAAGGGGCTTATTTGTATTCCCATAGCCAGATTCTCCCACTGTAATCTAGATGGCATCTTATGTACGCACATGACTCACATTCATCAATCCCTTTCCTGAAACTAAGGGAGACAGCCAGCTCTCAGGTATCTGTGACAGGAGTGTCAGAGACATGTAGAAGGGTTCACCCCAAATTTCAATCAATAATTTTCATCTCTGATTCTAACTTCCAATTTCTTCTTTCTTTCTTTCTTTCTTTCTTTCTTTCTCTCTTTCTTTCTTTTCTTTTTCTCTTTCTTTCTCTCCTTTTCTCTCTCTCTCTCTCTTTTTTTGAGACAAGGTTTCCAGACAGCTCTGGCTGTCCTGGAACTTGTTTGTGAACCAAGCTGTGCTTAAACTCACAGAGATCTGTCTGCCTCTGTTTCCCAAGTCCTGGGATCAAAGGCATGCACCACCACAACCGGCTTCTGATGTCAACTTTTCTTGACTATCATTTTTAATGAGCACAGAAAAAGCCATAGAAAAGCATAGGGCTTGGTTAATACATGGGATAACCTACAACGAAAATGCTGAGAGCCACATGTTCTTCTGTATGGTTCTGTATAGGAATATAACACACACACACACACACACACACACACACACACGATCATCAGGAAGCTGTGTTGATTTAAAGTAGTCACTGTCTACATCTCAGACTCAATGTTTTTCATTACCTCCATTATTGCTCACTCTCCCTGTCTTTCTGCTATCTTTATAACAACTTAAGGTGCAACTAAAATGCCCCAAGTCATTTACCAGGTTTGAATCTTACTCTAGTTGGTCTGTTTTCCACAAAGCAAATAGTCTTTTTGGAATATAAATTATATCACTACCCTGTCTATAACCCTTTGATGACTTCAAAGTTCATTTTCAATAAAAGGCAAAGTATGTTTCAAAGTTTGTATTCCCTAAGTTTTCTACTTGACCGTGCCTTTGTGTCTTGTGCTAGTGTTTCTAGAGTGTCCTCTGGCCTACAAGTGATCTCATTATCCTTGGACATTAGAGCTCTTACTATTTAGGTACAAGCAGTAGGCTCTATAAGTTGGTTTGGCCACCACATATGTCTCTTCTCTGTGTCTGTGCTCATGTTTTCTCTATTAGAGGTGCTTCTCTGACCAGCTGAGATAAAAGAGTCCCAAGTCACAGCATACCGTGTGTCACTACCTTATCAATACTATCCAGGAAAACCCAGGTGAGTTATGCTCAGTTCCCACTTCCTCACCTGAAAATAAATATACCTTATAGAAACATAAATTTCAAGTTTAGCTGTTACTGCTTATCATTAAAATTATATATATATATATATATATATATATATATATATATTTATATCTTGTTTCTTCTATTTTCAGGGGCTCCTTTTCCATTTTTTCTTTTTTTTCCTTTTTTTTTAAACAGGGTTTTTCTGTCCTAAAACTAGCTCTATAAACCACACTGGCCTCTAACTCACAGAGATATGCCTCCCTCTGCTTCCAGAGTGCTGTAATTAAAGTCATGTGCCACCACTAAAAAGCTCCTTTCCCTTATCAGCTTCTTACGGACTTTTCTTTGAACTCCGATGTTTATTTCCTTATTTTGCTTTGTGATTTTACCCTTCTTTATTCCTGGGAAGTGTCTCTCTGGCTTCATTAGTAGTCACTGTGATGGGGTTCCCACCACGTAGCTTTACTCCACACTCTAGCCCTGTGTTGGAGGAAAACATAGACTCTTCTTTGGGGAGGAGGTCTTTGGGACATTGGATAACTTCATAACTTTGCAAATCACAACCTTTTGGAAGACTATTTCTCCCCTTTCTGTTTTGTTTTGTTCTGGTGCTGGGCATTGAACCCATTGCTGAGTGAGTGCTACCACCCTGGTCCTATTATCTTGTAGGTAGTAATTACTCATCTCTGTCAGTTATCTCAATGTGTGTATGTAAACAAAAAGTTAGTACATGTAAAAGTGGCTTGTAAAATCATAAGACAGTATATAATTTTGAGGTACTGTCAAATACAGAAACTGTGATATTTTCTACCTATGTGTCCTCCTGTTAATTTAGATTCAATATAATCAAATTGAGTTAACTTCCTTCTTTTCTCCAACTTTCTTTTCTTGCTTTCATATCAAACCACTCTAAACTCTCGATTTTCCTTTTGTGCTGTGTATAAAAATTTTCTCTATTCTTTATTCCCTCAGCCAGTACCTGTCTAACTTTTGCCTAGTTTACCTCTGGTATGTTACAAAACTCCATTGGCAGGCCTCTCTCTCTTTCCCTTGGATAATCTTCTCAAACAACCACTTCCAATCTTCCCCAAACAGGATTGTGTTAGATATTTACAAGTTGTCACTGCTTGCCACAGATTGATTCAATGACTCAAATTATCATCTTATAGTTCTGCACCTCAGAAATGTCATATGGGCCCTATGGGTTAAATCGAGTACTTGCATTAAGTTAAAAGAATCAGAAAGGTCTTACATGGGTCCCACCCTCTAGAGAGGGAGGATCTACTTCCTTGCCTTTTTGAACTTGTATTGATCAACAATATTTCTTGGCCTGTGTCACCTTCTTTGACAGAATTGTGGGTCAGTGTCTCACATCATACATCTCTGACCACAATTGGAATGTCCCCTCAATCTCAGATGATTAGGTTATATCTAATTAGCTAATTAAGAATGATGTACATGTGTGTGTGGGGTGTGTGTGTGTGTGTGTGTGTGTGTGTGTGTGTGTGTGTGTGTGTGTGTGCTCCTGTGTGTGGTTACATGCACATTTGTGTACTTTTGTATGGAGAAGCCAGATGTCAATGTCAGGCATCTACCTCTACTGCATTCCACCTTTGTTTTGAGCAGTATCTCACAGTGCACTGGAGACCGCCAATTCATCAAGACAAGCTGGGCAGACAGCTTGAGGGATTCCACTATCTCTACCTCCTCCAGAATGGTATTGAATTCAGGTCCTTAGGTTTGCTGGCAAGAGCTTTTATCCACTATGTCATCATGCTATCTCCCATAAAAGGATTTTTTAAAATCCAAGCACTCAGGGAGCTAAAGTATCATTGTAAATTCAAAGCCACCCCAAGGTACATAGAGAGTTTCTGTCTTAAAAGTAGAAGAAACAAGAAGGATTTATTTTTATTTATATTTCTAGGGAATATCAGTTATGGAACACATTATCATTGATTGCCTCAAGACTGTGGAAGGTGAGGTATTAGGTAGATAGTAGAATATAGTCAACTGGAACAGTTGAGGTATCTAGGATGAGAAAAGTCACTGCATAAAGGCCATCAGAGAGACAGGGCCACAGGGAGTGAAGCTAAGATGGCTATATACAGAGACATTTCCCAAGACCTGGGGGCACTCCAGTGCTTACATGTCTGCTATGAAGGCTGAGGAGATACTGAAGATGACACAGCTAGAGACAAAGTGAACGTAATGTCCTGGGAGCCAAGAGGTAGGTGTTTCTAGTTTTTCCTTTTGCCCTTTAAGTCTGTCTGCTGGTTCTGTGGCATCCCAAGAACTCTAATTTATAAGAATTCTTGTTTCCTCCAAGAAAACTCTGAACTAGATTGAAACTAACTTTCCCCCAAGTTCTTTTGTCTCTGACACAGTTGGAAGAACTACAGTGGCTTCAGGGTCCTGGGTCCTCATTTCTCAGATGAGCTCCACTTGGTGCCTACAGTTACTGTGTATTTGTAACAGGCCATGGCCTCATTATCCCTTACCTAGCCAAGGTACAGAAATCCACAAAGACCTTTAAAGGGGTACCTGGGGGGTTAGATTCACAATAAAGCATATGTTTAGTGCATGCAAGATTTGACTCCTAGCACTACAAAACCACAAATGAAAGTGTCCTGCAAGTTGCTGGATCAGCATATAAGGAGGGTTATTTGGTCTAGCTACTGTTTTCTACTCTGAGAAACCAAGACACTGAGTTGTGAGGCACATGCCAAGGAATCATGAGACACAATTCTGGCTGATAAACTTCTCCAAGTCATCTCTCATGGAACATATCACAATACCCCTTAGCATATTCCATGAAAATATGATAACACCTAGAGTTTCAGAATCATTATGACTCCTTTTATTTGAAAACTTCAATCTATTAGCCCCTAAAGTGAGGTACATATATGGGATCTTTCCCAAATTAAGAGCATTGTGTCTTTCTATTGCCACACTTTATAGCTGTGGCATTGCTTTCACACCCCCTAATGGACTAGGACACAAACAGCGAAGGGAAAAAGGAAGAGAGACTTTGTATTATTTGGTCATTCATACTTTTATTTTTTTTTCATAGTGATCTTTGCCAATTCCTAACAAAAATAAGTAAAAACTGACAATAACTTGTAAGTCACAGTCTCCTTCACTATCTTAAGGTACACAACTATCAAAGCTGATATTACCTGCAAACAAATTGATACAATTCAGTACCCTGATAACATCCATAATCAAATAAGTTTTAGGGTGAACACAATACAACTTTATATTCCATTAGAATCTTTAATAGAAGCTTTATACCAGAGTGCCTCTTTAAACCTACAAAGTGCAATTACAGAGTGCAAAATGGCAAAAAAGAAAAATACACTGTATTACATTCAACAGTATCAGGTTTGAAGAGCAGAGAGCTTAGATATATGTATTCTTCAGTTAAAACTTTCAAATATACCCCAGAAATACTATTTATGCTCCCCTTCTTCCCATAACATTAGAAAAATTAGAAAATATTGGGCAGCAAATAAAACTTGTTTTAAAAAAATCTGACAAAATAGAAATTGAAGCAAAAATGGCAAATTTGGTCTGATGAAAAGGCAACTTTACTGTTTACTGGCTAGATGAAGCAACAAGTGGACACTTGGTCATGTCACATACTTTCTGGGAAAATAATTGATATCTTTCAGCAGCTAAATTTATTTAGCTATCTTCTCAAGGAATCAAAAATAAAATATTTGGCTTTTCCCATTGTTTGACTCTTAACAGAGAGGGGAGGTTGAAAATACATAAGAAAACTAGAGTTACAGTGTGGGATGGAGGCGTTATATAGGCTAAACTTCATTGTTGAGTAAGAGCATAATGTCTTTGTTTATAGAGGGCATTTACTGGGTTATTAGGTAGACTTGGTGGGAGACTTTAAATGATGCTATTTTGCATCTGGAATTGCTTTGTTTCTCAATTCAGGATATATATAGCCTTGTGGATGTGTGTGTGTGTGTGCCTGTTTGTGTGTGTGTGTGTGTGTGTGTGTGTGTGTGTGTGTGTGTGTGTGTGTGTGTGTGTAAACAATATACTGAGAAATATGTATGACACATGAATCAATTTTAATCTTTTTATGCTTACTTAGCATAATCTTTACTAAAACGAGTTTTTAAACGTTATGTTAACCAAAAACCTATAATCTCATCATACTTTTTCATTATTAATATGCTTTTATGGGACCACAGGTGAAGCCCAAAGGTAGTGTTTGCACAACATGTGTAAGGGTCTAAGTTTTATTCCCAGCTTTGATATCAAAACAAAAATATATAAAGATATAATTCCTTCCTGAGATCTTTGCAAAAACATCTAAAAAAATATGCAAAGCTATCCCAACTTCTTGCATCAAGTTATGTGGTATGACTGGAAATGCTCACAGTGGAACAATAAACCCATATTTAAAAGCCTCACTTGGCTTCTGTAAATTAACTGGCTGTATTGTAGCTCAGTCTTTGATGAGCTTTATACTTTCATCTGAAGAAGCCATGGTCTGTATTAGGCCAGCCTTCTCTGTATCCATTTGGTATCAATGGGATTTAAAATGTGTTCTTACACAGGACCTTAGACTTTAGCTAAATAAAATGACAAAGAAATACGCTTTTAAATGTCACCAACTTTCATTTCCCTTTCTTTTTAAAAGTGAGTATGTTGGTTAGTACAGAAACAAATAGCTGTAATTCTGCAAAGTATGGAGCTTGTGTCCCGGAGCACGTATCCAAGAATGCACGTGTGCATTGCTTATTTTATCTGTTCCTCTCCCTCATAGTAAAGCCAGGACTTTTGATGTGAGCTGTGTGAACCTTCCAGGGTTTTCCATGAATGACTCCATAGGGCAGCAATGTTTTCTTCCCTTGCACTCTAGAGGTCAGAGGAAACTCATGATGGTTCTGTTGCCCTAGCACATGCCAGGAAAAAGGTGGAGGAACGATAGACTCTCCCTGACCTGGTATGTGTTCCAGACAGATTCCACCTAAGGTTGAGCAGTCGCTTAGGTAGCCTCCCAGGAAAGGCAAAGGTGTGCCTGCAGGGACTCCTGAGGCAACTTCACAGGACAATCTAGTGACTCACTAAGACTGACAGGCTGAGAATAGAGACCAACCTCTCTCTTTCCATAAAGGCAAACAAACGACAGGGAAAGGGTCAAGATTTCATCTTAGCTTCCATGAGGATGCATAGTTAAGTCTAAAATTTTAAAAGCTCCCAAATGCATTTTTCCTTTAGAAAAATACATTGTAATTTATTTTTCTCATATTTTCCTCACTTCCTGTATTTGGATATATGTTTTTAAAATGTAACTTTAAAACCTGAAATAAGTTATTGGCTGAACTATTTGTTAGTAAAAATTCTTTTGAAACTAGGTATGGTAATGTGGGTCTATAATCCCAGAACCAGGGAGGCTAAGGCAGGAGAATTACCATGACCTTGGAACCAGTCCGGACTAAAGAGTGAGACTCTGGGTTAAAAAAGAAAAATAACAACAAAAACAAAACAAAAAGCAAAAGCAAACAAACAAAACCTCTTGAATATAAAATTAAAAAGTACATTTGTAGATTAGTTAAGATCTGACTAGCATCCTGTTGTATTTTAAAATTATGATTAATTTGATTTTGGATTCTGATTTAATCCTATAATTCTTCAGTAAATTCCCTACAAAAATAAATAACCTAAAATGGAGTTCAAATTTTCTTCAAATGTAGATTTTCTGATTGATATTCAACAACGATGATTTCACATAAATGATGTACTCTACATAAATGGAATGACCATTGTTCAGGTAGCTGAAGAGATGTCCTCTCCAAGATTAGTTGGCTCAAGTGTGTGGTGGGAGGCACACAAGTTGTCTTTACCTCCACTTCTTATTACTGTTTTAATATATGAAGCAGTGGTGCCAATGCTTGAGCCAAGCCATGATATAGTCAAGTCAATTATCACAAATCTGAGAAGAAGAAAATAAATTACTCACACAATTGATTTGACCATATTATTTAGGCTCACAGGAACTTCACTTGCAACAGATTGGACATTGCTCACTCAAAGCACTGCACCAGCTTACTGAGCTTGGATGCTTTTCAATAAAACATTTCACTCAGGAAATTCTTATAAAAATATCAATTTTCTTTTGATATTAAATATTTTACATATAATATATTAACAAATAGTCTGTCAAAAAATAAAACACTTTCCAAGTATATTAAAAATATACAGTCATTGACCTAACACATGACCCAACATAAATATTATTAATAAAATGAAATATTAACGTTAATCAGGCATGCTATGCATCCCGGTTCATAAATTGAGGTTGATGTTCAGACTTGTGGCACTGCTGGGTCTCCAGAGGTCACTCTCTCATATTCCTTCTTTGATTTCTTACTCTCCCTATATTTGTACCTAGAAAAACACCAGAAAGGAAACAGCACTGTAATTAACAGATATAAAAACAAACTCTGAAACAAATACATGGAATCCAAGAGCACATTAGGAAAGGCATCAAGCTGACAGTGGTAGTATACACCTTTAATCCCAGCACTCAGGAGGCAGAAGCTCCTGAGGTGGACCATCAAGGTCATCCTGGTCTGCAGAGTGATTTCCAGGGCAACCAGGGCTACACTAAGAAACTCTGTCTCAAAAGAAAACAAAACAAAAGAGGGGGTTGCATCCAAAATTCCTAGAGTGACTATGCTTAGGTCAGGAAATGATAAAATTGAAAGAGCAAGAGGGCAATATCCTGCAGTCCATCACACTTGATAAGAAACAGACATTGTTAAACAGTTAACACCATGAAAGGGTTTCTCTAACTGCTTTACATGAGCACAGAGCTGTGAAATGACAGGAGGAATTCTCCAACATCTTTTTCTATCAGTTTCTTTCACCAGTATTCAGTTCTGTTGTGTCTAGTTAGATGCATATAGCCTCAATGGGACTTCTGGTGTACCTTGAATCATCCCTAGATTACATCTGAAACCTGACACAATGCCAAAGCTCTATAATACCTGATATTATGTTGTTCACATTCAGTACAGACACTATTTTCAAATTCTAATTAGGAAAGCATTACCATCGGATGGCTACTTAGAACAAAATCTAGACAAAATCTAGTTTGAAGATTAAACTTCAAACTAAGAAGAATAAACTGGAAAGGTTTTTATTGGTGCTATTAACTATTCATACTGTTTCACAAGTCCAGTCAAATTAAAAACCCTTACAATCTTTAGTTATATTTCTTCTCGGTTACCATTTTGTGATAATTAGGGGGTGAATCCTAATTATTACAGTATGAAATCTTCAGTCTGTATTATATAAAGAAATGGATATTCCTTGTTTTGACTTTCATATGCACACGAGCAGGAAGTAAAAGCTAGTTATTTAATTAAACCTGGGTTTAATGCAGAAAAGCATTTTTGTAAATACCACAATGCAGATCCTCTCATACTAAGTTTAGATTTCAACCAGTTTATAGGTCTGTTATTGTGTAATTTTAAAAGCTATAGGCTATAAAATTAACTGGCTTACCATCTGCAGAAATAATATATGGATCCAGCGATTATGACAAGGAACAGGAGAATAACAATCACTGTCAGTGCAACGTATTCTTTGCTCAGGGGTTTGTGAACGGTTAGAAAGAAGTGTTCACACCGGACACCAGTATAGCCCACATCACATCTTTATAAAATGCAAAGAAAATCGATTATTTTAAAAGGAAGTCATGTTATGAATTAGTGTTAGAAGAACTACATCTTCACTGCAATAGAAGAAAATCATCAAGACTTGTTTAAAGTTACAAAAATGAATTCAAAAATTGAACTCAGAGCTGGGTCAACAAACTCCAGTGGCAAAAGGACAATCTGATGTGGCTGCTAAAGTACTGGTCATCTAGAAGGGTCTAGTTTATAAATAGGAAATTTTTTTTGTTCTAATTAGTAGGATTGATTTTTTAATTTATCTATTTAATTTAGAAACAATCTTATTTTACATATCAATCCCAGTTCCCTCTCCCTCCCATCCTCCTATGCCCCCACCCCACCCCCATCCACTCCCTAGGGAGGGCTGTACTGGTCATCTAGAAGGGTCTAGTTTATAAATAGGAAATTTTTTTTGTTCTAATTAGTAGGATTGATTTTTTAATTTATTTATTTAATTTAGAAACAATCTTATTTTACATATCAATCCCAGTTCCCTCTCCCTCCCATCCTCCTATGCCCCCATCCCACCCCCATCCACTCCCTAGGGAGGGCGAGGCCTTCCATGGGGGATCATCAAAATCTGTCACATCATTTGGGGGAGGGCTTAGGCCCTCCTGTGTGTATCTGGGCTGAGAGAGTATCCCTCCATGGGGAATGGGCTCCCAAAGTCCATTTGTGCCCTAGGAATAAATACTAATTCCACTCTCAGATGTCCCATAGATTGCCCAGGCCTCCTAACTGACACCCACATTCAGGGGGCCTGGTTCTGTCCAACGCTAGTTCCCCAGCTTTACAACTTGGGTTCATGTGCTTCTCTAAAACAATGGCTTGTAGGGAATTCCAATAAAGGTAGAGCTGCCATTGTAGTAAGAGGGAAGCATCTGAAGCTCCCCTCACTACTATGCACCCCAAATTGAAATATTATATTTTCTCTTTAATTTCAAAGAAATAATAAAGGTTTTATATTATCTATAAAGCACATTTCAACAGCCCATAGAAACATAGTAACTACATATAAAAGGAGAGGAGTCATCATATGCTCATTGGAGTCACTTACCTGCAGTAATTATCACTCATGTCCACCAGGTAGATGCACTGTCCATGCAAGCAATAGCCATTCATGTCAGAGCTACACTTTGTAATTGACACTTGTGCCACACGGGGATTGTCTTCCATCTGAACTGTGAAAAGAATGGCAAGTTGAATGACTTGTGTCATAGGACTCCAAGTGCATAATTATCCTTTAATAATAATAATCTCTATGCAACTTCAGCAGACAGGTCAGAGGTCAGCCGTGGAGAATTTTCAGGGTCCAGGAGTTAATCTACTTACCACACTTCTCCAACCTTAAGACAAACATCTGAACACACAGCAGGCCCCCAAACAATAGACAAACACCCAAACATACAAAGGCTAAAAAAATAAAATGACTCAAGGATTTAATTTTCAAAAGACAGGCAGACAGAAAATTATACCAAGAAAGCACACTGGTAGCACATCTGAGAGTGGAACCAGTATTTATTCCTAGGGCACAAATAGACTTTCCTGCCCAAGTAACAAACAACAGACAAACAAACAAACAAAGCAGTGGTGGAGGGAGTTTGACAAAATTCCAGAAACCTTGGTGGTGATGGACAAGAAAAAAGAAGATAACCTAGAACCACATTCAGCTCAGACAAAAGCATATAGTGGTCTTTGGAGCATGTTCTCCTTGGGGGGATAATGACTGATCATCATTCATCTATGGATTTCCACCTTAGCAAGATGCTGATTCGCCCTAAGCACACCATCGATGTTTCCTCAACACTACAACTGAGATGGAATGAGAACATTTGTTCCTCTGGCATGCTACTTCTATCAAGAGAAAACGTGCTATATATGAAGTGTGCACGTTCCTGTTCTTCGTGGGAATTGTTCCTTCAAATGTTCTCCAATAATGCCTTTATACTAAATACGCTTTTCCTTATTTACTTTCTAAAAACTCATTTTTTAAATCTATAACCTCATGTCTTAACTTTCTCCCATCATTACTCATTCATGTGATTTCTCCAGATCTCTAGTTAGTTAATTACAAGGTTAAAAAATGATACAGCAGGCGTCGCTTCCTTTTGCTTCATTAGCATGTGTTTATATTTACATTTTATTTACAAATGTGTAAAACTTTGATGCTGCTTTCATGACCTCAGGCTTACCTAAAGCTGTGCAGTTTTCTTGGGAGTCTCCTGGGATGCATGATGGAATCACGGTTGTGCTGATAGCCCCTTGTAGAAGTTGGAAACCTAGTCATACAAGATAAAATACATAATTAATGCTCCAAGAAAAGAACTTTCACTAAATTTCTACATGTCTTCCATATATAATGAGAAGTGTTGTTTTAAGAAGTTACTTCCCCAAAGTGATAACAGAAAAATAATGTATGGAAACATTCATATAATTGAAAAATAAAGTGATCCCTCTTATAAATAGATTTTAATTTACAAAATATAATCTAGATAAGATGAGAATACTGTTGCCCTTTATTGTTCATGAGGGTTAATTCTATCATTCCCCACAGATACCTAATTTGAAGATGTTCAAGTCCCTTTCACAGACTGGTATAGAATTTGCATATAACCTGAGTGTGTCTCCAGATATACCTCAAGTCATCTCCAGATTACATCTAAAATCCAGTACAATGCAGATGCTATATGATACCTATTATATTGTGTTGTTTAGGTTCAGTACAGACACTATTTTCAAATATTTGAACCCATGGATGCAATGGTGCCCTAGCATTTAGTCTCTGTCAGCACAATGAAATTGAAACAACTGTATCATTCAGTAAAAAAGATGAATGTTGGAAATTAGGTCATCATAATGACTCAAGCCATTTCTGTATTGCACAGGAAACATGATAAAAAGACTCTTCTAATTATAAACCTGTTTATACAAGAGCATTTTGCCTCTCCTGTTTGATTTTTGTGTATTTGCACTCCAACCCCCTTTCTGGCCTGTAGTAGTTACTATTATATAGCCAATGCCTGTGCTGGTACTAGTAGCAGCATCGACAATTGACAAGCCTCAAACATGAACTGTACAGAGACATTGTTCTATTCATTCTATCCATTCTCTTTCATGTTCTCAGTAATGCTAAGGAAGACACTATTACCTCAATCAGACAGAAAACAAAACAAAACTACTGAGCATGAAGAGTTTAAGAAACTTCTCCCAAGGATGCACATTAAATGGGCCACATGATTGAATCTGGAAACAGGCGATAATGCTTGACTATAATGAACATCACATGCAGCACACTAGACAAACTAAAGCAGAGTACTTTTTTGCATCATCGACAGGCAAAAGGATGGTAAAATGATAATGGTGTGAGAAAACTTGATCTATATTACTTGGACACACACACACACACACACACACACACACACACACACACACACACACACACAAAGAAAATCAGTTCCCCAAGTTTTCTTACAGAGTTTTAGGGAGACTGAAATGGATTTTTTTCCAGAAATGCCTCATGTATCAGAGATTCCCATAAATATTCCCAACAGGCAATGCTGATCCTCTAGTTTGAATAAACTATCCAGGTAGTGCCCTCTACTGGTTTGTAGTAAGATTATAAATCCCTTTAATTAGGCAGTTAAATGCATTTAATCCATATAAAAAAGATTTTTTTTCTTGATCAGAGGAACTTTGAACTTACTAACAAAATTTCGTATGGGAGTGTTCCAAACATGAAGCATAGATCAACATCAAAGCCAGCTTCATGGTTTCTGCTACCATGTTTCAAACTTGACCCAACAATTCTGTTCATGTTAAAGACTTGTATACACCCCAAATGAGACCAGTACATGCAGAGTAAATGTCTGATATAGCATCACTTATCAAGTCACCGCAGAAGACAAGACCTAAGGCATCAGTTTTACATTCTTTAGATAGTTTGAAACTACTGAAAACTCTAGGCACAATCGTTCCCCAGTCACATGTCTCCATACAATATAAATTGCTTTTATAGACCAAATTTAATCTTTCTTAAATGACCAAAAAGAAGGGAAAAAAGGCTGAAGTCTGAATTGCACAGTCAGTTAAACAGAGATACAAACTGTTTTCCATGTGGATGTGATCTGGAGGAGGAGCTGGAGTCTAGTTTTGCTCTACACATTAGTTTTGTTCTACTTCTCAGTGTGGTTTCACCATGCACTGTACTGAAGAATTAAACCATTTAACCTAGGTAGTCTTCTCAACACAAACTGGGCTTCTGGTTGTACATGATTTTATCCCTGAAACACATCCCACCTCCAACCCCACCCCCACACCTCCCCACCCCCACCAAGTCCTTCCCTGTACTTCTTTAATCAATGGGAGGGGACATTCAATTCTCTCTCTGGAAAGTGCCTGTGTGTGTGTGTGTGTGTGTGTGTGTGTGTGTGTGTGTGTTGGGGGTTACTCATTTCTCTGTCCAAATCCACTGTCCTTTATCGTTTATTAAGAAATCACCTAGGGAAGGAAAGGTGGGTATTTCCTGCTTGAAATTGCTTTCAACTGCTACCCACCCCTGCAGATTCTGGCTGGTGCTGTTTAGTGTTTGGTTGTTGTTTGTTAAGGTTTTTGAAGTTGTTAGTTTTTCTTCTATTATAAGCTCCTGGTTTCTTGGGACACAGGTGAAATATTTGTCTTTGTAGATTACAGAATGTTCAGCCCAGGGTGTTCCTCCATGAGCACTGGCCTCCCCTGGCCTGTGACACTTGTGTGGAGACAGTCCATTGCTTGGGACAGTTTCTGTGAGACTTGCTGTGTTAATCCACTGGCAGAATATTTTGCAAATGAAATCGTAAGAAATCATATTAAAGTATGGGATCTATGACAGTGCTCTATCATAACCAGGTATGGCCAGTGAACAGCAAAAACAGATCTACCTCATCTATCTCAGTACCAAGCTGAACTGATGTAAAACAGGGGTCTTTACTGGTTCTTAGGTGTGCCTGTCGGAAGACTTTGCAAACTAGAATAGAGTAGTGAATGTGATGATTAGAAGGTTGAAAAGCCCACACCCAGAGGTCTGTGAAACTTCTTTCCATTGAGAATTGAACCTAGAGCATTGCCCATATTGGGCAAGCATTCTATCATTAAAATGCAACCCCAGTCCAGTAGTCATTATTTTAAAGTTATACAGGGTAGGGATAAGTCCTAGTGTCATATCCATTCAGTTCCTTAGTCTCACATTTTTCATGATTTTAGTGGGTTTGTGTATAACAATCTATGGTTCAACTGCAAATATTTTACTTAAGTTTTTGGTCCCTTATAAGATTTAATGCTAATAAAGTAATTCACTAAGTTAATTTTTTTATGATAATGTCTGTCTCCAAATCTGACATGGTGGCAACATTGACACTGGTTGCTAAGATCCTGAGGAAGTCTGTGCAAGGTGACATAGGTAGATGACCTGTGAAACTGGTGCTCAGAATTCCAACTTCACTATGAAAACAGTCCACAGTCACTTCAAAGGCTATCATCTGGGTCATAGCTCCAAGTGGGTTTAGGGATGTGATGCACTCTAGTCATCTCTCGCTTCACCTTTTGGGGTTGCATTTCAGTGAAATCTCAGATATGCCAGCAGGAAGTGGAGCCACTGACTCACAGGATGCAATTCGCCTCTTCCCTGTGAGTCAGGGCCCAACCTACACCCTTAAGCAATGATGGGGACCGTGCGTGTGCGTGGGAGAGTCTGAGTATGATCACCGGAATGGGGATAACCCTGACTGCCGTGGGCCCGGAGTGCCAGGACCAGTTGCCCAACAATCAAGCAGAATACCAGACATAGAAAATACCCTCATTGCCTATAGTTTTTTTCTGACCTGCTTCCTAATGATGCAACTGGGGATGGGGGTTGAGGTAGAGGGCTGGGGGGCGGGGAGAAGAGAGACTCTTCTAGAAAACCAATTGAAAGTAATCAGGAATTTCGTGACTGGAAAAGAAAATCACGTCAGCAAAACATTCTCAAGCCTCAGGCAGAAAAATGACTTCTTTTAAAAACAATCAAGCAAATAAAAACAGTCCAATACAAATGGTTTTAAAGAATGATAGGTGTTCACCTTCTTTTCCCAATGAAATCTTTCAGAATATGTAGACCAGAACAGCAAACTCATTATGAATCATGGTATTTGCCTGGCCCAAACAGGTAACCGAATCCGCTATGAATCCCTTTTCCATGCTTACACTCGCTGGCCTGCTCTGGAACTGTTATGTTTTCCACCTTCTTCCAAGGTATGATTATAGAATTTCTTGGTAACAGTTGACCTATTGCATTGTGTGTGCTTAGAAGACATGAAGGAAGTGAAGGTGCATTTCTTTTTGTTTTAAAATCACAGTTTGATGCTTTTCTTTATCTTGGTTAAAATAACAAAAATCTGTCAAAGGTTATGAAAAGATCTACTTTCTGTATTTTCAAGTAACAATCTGTATTTCAGTCATTATGCATGTGTGTACACACACACACACACACACACACACACACATATATATGCTACCCTTGTTTTATATAGACACTCTGTTCCTACAATTTTTAAGTAGTAATGTTATATTTAAGCACCCTTTAAAATTGGATGTAAGAAAAAACCTATATTTCAGATAAAACAGAACAAAAGATTGCTATAATACAGATATCCAAATATTTCCTTTAATTTTGAGTTTTAAAAGTTCCAACAAATTTTCCTTGGCAAATGGCAAGGAAAGATTTAATATGCCATTTTCAACTGTATGCATTAATTTTATTCCACAATTTAATACTTTATGTATTAAATTTATGTATTAAGTGTTTATGTATTTGAATTATCATATGACACACTAAAGTGATTCAAATTAAGAATGAGTCTAAATATAAAGGAAAAAATCAGGAAAATCATGTGCTTTACGTGGTACATGGTGGATATCCTCATTCGTAATAGAAGTGTTTCTACTAGAAAAGAAAATGAGGGGGCTGTTGGATAAGATGTAAAACCTTAATCTTGGTGTCTAGGAATTTTATGACTTAGAATTCCAAAGATGAGACATGGTTCTCCTAAGAGCTGGAAATGAATCTGTAAAGTGTTATTTTAATACTATTGGAATTTTTTTCCCTAAGATATTCTAATATGGGCAGACTTTTGCAAATGTACTTCCTTCCATCTTGCTTATACCCTCATTGCTTCAGTTGGATTCTGGTGTTTGTCATTTGATGTCTTTTTATTATAGTCACAGTGATGTCTGAACCTTAGAATAGTTCATGACATTTCTAGAAGCA